CACAGAGGAAAAAATGTGACAATGAGTGTGTATATGTCCATGAATGACTGAAAAATTGTGCTGAACACTGGAATTTGACACATTGTAAAATGGTTATAAATCAATAAAAAATGTTAAAAAAATATAGCATTTATCAATTCACTATAAAAAAAAATTACTGCCCAAGCACGGCTGACGGAACTCTATTTATAGTCTTTTATCTAATTTTGTGGCCACTTTCCACTTTGAAAGTTAAAGGTGCTGCACAACTAGGGTAAAAAGATGAAGAAATGTACAAGCTATTATAATAATTGTAATAATACTAATAATCAATAATTTATTGAACACTAATATGATAGACTGTAGTAAGTGCTTTGTTTTGTTTTGTTTTAATTTTTTTAAATTGAAATATAGTCAGTTATAATGTGTCAATCTCTGGTGTACAGCATAATGTCCCAGTCATGCATATACATACATATTATTCATTTCCATATTCTTTTTCATTAAAGGTTATGACAAGATACTGAATTTAATTCCCTGTGCTATACAGAAGAAATTTGGTTTTTTATCTATTTTTCTATATACTAGTTAATATTTACAAATCTCAAACTCCCAGATGTATCCCTTTCCACCCCCTCTCCCCCCATAAGATTGTTTACTGTGTCTGTGAGTCTGTTTCTGTTTTGTAGATGAGTTTATTTTTATAATCCTTTTAGTCAATCCTCACAAGACCAGTGAGGTAGATTTTATTCTTACTCTCCCATTTTGCAGGTGAGGAAACAGACAGAGCGCTCAAGTAACTGGCCTTGGTTACATACCTGGTATTTAGAGGACGAAAACCTTCCTTGTCTCACTGACATTAAATTTTCAGGGGTTTTCATGTTGGTACCATCAGGAGCATCTCTGCTATGATACTATGAGTAGGTGGAGCTCAGAATTTTTCCCAAACTGAGAAAGAACCAACAGCGAGGGAACCAGTGGGGCCTACTGATTGAGAATGGGTGCTGCAGGGTCAGACTAGAGCTGGGTTCAAGTCACAAGCCAGCCAATTATTCCTCCTGTGTCCCTGGGCAAATTATGGTTCCACTCAGAACCTCGGTTTCCTCTTCTACAAAATGGAGGTAATACTATCCTACTCATGGAGGAGGTGGCAGTGTTGGGTGAGATATGTATGCATAGATTCTGGCTCATATTGAATGAATATTGAAGGGTTATGACTAGATTACTATTAAAATATTTTTTTTAGATTTTTGTGGATTTCTATTTTAATTTCTTTGAATGCTGAAATCATCCAATGAGTAGAGTCTTCTGCCTCCCTCCCAAGCTATCAAAAGATTCATTTTGTGGATGGAAAATAATGAGTTAAGAAGCCTTTGTCTTAAGGTTCAATAGCAAATCTGGGGTAGAATGGAAAGTAGTGTAAACTCGTTTCTAATTTGTCACATATTGTGGAGGAAAGGAGTGGCTGGTTCACAGTATATTGTGTTGCCGCCATTGGCAAGCTTGCTCACATGAGGCATCCAGAGAACTTTCACATGGTGGACAATGGCTCTTCCTGTCTGGAGGGTGGCTGTGGGTGGTGGAGGTTTGAAAGCAGCCCCTCTCCCCTCCCAAGGATGCACCTCTGGTCCTTGCAGAGGGCAGCTGGCTTTCATTTTCAATTCTCAGGGCTCTGGGGGTCCCCATAGGTAACAGAAATCTCTCTCGGGGCTCTTTCTTCTCTGTGACTTGTCCCTGCTTATTCAGCACAGTCTGGGGTTGCCGCTGGAGGGGCTGAGGATGGGAAGGGTGAAGAATTTCGATCAGAGGATAGAGGACTGTGTAATGGGAGGGAGTTGGACTCACTGTGGCTTACTTGAAAGAAAATCAGGTTCTCCCACTGCCCAGGGTCAGCTCGGAGAGCCCGACTCCTTTCTCCTTTGCTTGGCATGACTGCAACCCTGTTCCTGTTTCTATCATCCTGCTCTTCCTATAGCTCTGAGCTCCTGGAACATAAGAGAGAGGCTTGCTTAATATCATACTACCCCTAACAAACTCTCTGCCCTGCAGTTGGAGCTGCCTTTTATAAACAAGTCTGATGATTTTACTTCCTTATCTCAAGCCACACAGTGGCTTCCACTGCTCTTACCAAATAGTGTGAAATCTGCAGCCCAACTTAGCAAGGCCATATGTGATCCAGCTCCTGCCCCTTCAGGCCTCCTGTTTACACTCCAGGTGCTTCATTTCCAGAATGTTCTAAGCTCCTTCAGACCCCAGGGCCTTTGTACATACTGTTCCCTCCACTAGGACCATCTTCACTGGACTCCCGCTTACTTATTTATCCATAGACTTGGGGTCCCTAACTTTGCCACCTGTTCGAATTGCTCAGAGAGTTTTTAAAAATTCTGATGCCCAGGCATCATCCCATACCAGTTTAATCAGAATCTCTGGAGGTGAGACCCATGGAAAAGGATTTTTGAAAGCTCCCCAGGTGATTTCAGTGTGCAGCCAAGTTTGCGAACCAGTTCTTAGACGAAGTACTTTCTCCACGTAGTTGCCTAATTTCTTAATTTCCCAGTTCAGTTTGCATCCTTCATTACGTGTTCTCATAGTTCTCTGCACATTTTGCATTTGTTGACTATGTCTCCCACCAGACTGTGTCTATTGTGTTCTCTATTCCTAGGGTGTGGCTCGGGGCTTGGCACATAGGAAGACCGGATGAAACTGGAATGTGGATGTATTAGTGTTGCCACCACCAGCGGCTGGCACTCTCCAAAGGGTGAGAGGCTGCACTTTGACGTGGCTCAGGCACCTGCATCCATGTGCTGAGTCAATGAAACAGCTGCTAAGAAGAGGAGGGCTCCCTGCTGGGAAGTGCTCACCATTCCATTATCTGGGGAGAGTGTTTCCCTGCCTTTGGGAATGCTTCGATTTCTGGGTCACAGCAAGAACCAGAATTATCAGGGATTATATCTGATCATTGGGCAGTCCTCCCACAAAGGATTTGCCTATTAACTTACTTATAATTAATTGTCTTCTGGAGTGAATATTTACCAAGAAAAACATTCTCAATACTCAACAGTCAAAGGATATTTCCAATGATGGGTATTCAATTTTTTTTTTGATTGAAGCACAATTGAGTTACAATTTTGTATTAGTTTCAGGTGTACAACATAGTGGTACAAAATTTTTATAGATTATACTCCACTTAAAGTTATTATAAAATATTGGCTATATTCTTTGTGCTGTACAATATATCCTTGTTTAGTGTATTTATTTTATACATAGTAGTTTGTACCTCTTAATCCCTACCCCATCTTGCCCCTCCCCCTTTCCTCTCCCCACTAGTCACCACTAGTTTGTTCTCTAGATCTGTGAGTCTGTTTCTTTTTTGTTATATTCACTAGTTCAATAAATGATAACATAGGTTATCTGTCTTTCTCTGTCTGAATTATCTTACTAAGCGTAATACTCTCCAGGTCCCTCTATGTTGTTTCAAATTGCAAAATTTCATTTTTTTTTATGGCTGAGTAGTATCCATTCTGTATATATATATACACACATGAAGTCTTCTCTATCCATTCATCTGCTAATGGACACTTAGGTTGCTTCTATACCTTGGCTATTATAAATAATGCAGCTAATGAACATTGGGGTGCAAACCATTTCTCAAATTGACCATGTATTTCTTGGTGAATATTCACTGGTATGGACTATGAATAAAAAATAAATTAATAGAGCAATATATTAGCATAAGAGCAGACTAACAGTATCAATATAGCCATAGAATGTACTTCATGGAGACCAGAAATGAGTTTAGTTTATGGCCCCCAATATACTATATTGAGGGATAACCTAGATACGATGTCAGGAGGATAAAAAAATTAAAGACATGGTGTCCATGTAAAATGCACTGTATAATCAAAGCGCAGTGACAGGACAATCCTGACATCCATCTCAATGCTTTACTTTTTCTTTTTTGCATTCACTTCTACAGATTTGTTTCATTATATCACAAACAGGGAAAAATATCTTATTGAAAGGGAATGTGAGAAGATGCAACATCTAATGAATGGAAATCTGAACTAGAATCTACCAATAGATTTTGCATCTAACTTTTTCTGCAGCTGTGGATGACTCATTCTAGTGTCTCAGTTTCTCCACCCTTAGAATGAGAGTAATAAAATTTGCCGTTAATTAAAGTCTCTATTTTTTTTTAACTGTTTGGGAAGTTGGGTCCAATGGAAAAATGAAATACTTGAGGATATGACTTAGCCTGTGCTAGGAATTTTATAGGCAGTTCACCAAGGATTTTTTTCCAAGTGATTTGCACGATACACAAAATGTATTTTAAGCTGAATGCCTTGGACTGAAAGCCATGCACAATAACCTGTCCCAAAAGCAATTATCACATCAAGACACACCCATTGGGATTCAACGCTCCTATTTAAAGTCTGTCCAGACATCACAGCCCACATGTATAATGGCTTTGGCAGAAGAGTGAGAGCCAGCATCGGCGGGAGCCTTGTTTAACTGAGCAGGAAATGGACGTTTTCCGAACCAAAAGTTTGAAAGCTGAGAAATACCTATTTTGTGAGCAGAATTTACGGCCTCATTCCTACAAGAAGAAGAAGTAAAAGCAAACGGACGACATTTAATTCCATAAAGAAGTCACAGCTCTGGAGCCTGTTTTCCAATGGGACCTGAGGGTGTTTGTGGAACAAATGAGCATCTAAAAATATTTCGATCTCTTTAGATCCCTGAGATTTCAAATATAACATTCAATTCAGGCGCTGATTTTTCAAGAGGTCTTTGCTTCCTCCTCTTGTTTTCTGGGTTAGAAGCTCCTTTGTGAATGCTGGTTACTGGGTTTCCATATTGTTTTGGAATTGTCCTCTTTGCCATTAGATTGTGAGTTATTGATGGATGACCATGGATGCTGCTTATTCATCTTTGTTCCTGTTGTAATCAGCACAATTTGAACAAGAATCAATCTTGTTCAAGAGTGGGACCTAATTAAACTTACAAGCCTTTGCACGGCAAAGGAAACCATAAGTAAAACAAAAAGACAACCTATGCAATGGGAGAAAATATTTGCAAATGAGGCGGCTAACAAAGGTTTAATTTCTGTATAAACTGCTCATACAACTTAATAACAAAAACAACCAAACAGCCCAATCCAAAAATGGGCGGAAGACCTAAACAAGCAATTCTCTGATGAAGACATACAAATGGCCAATAGGCATGTGAAATAATGCTCAGTATCACTAACTGTCAGAGAAATGCAAACCAAAACTGCAGTGAGGCATCACCTCACACGAGTCAGAATGGCCAGCATTAAAAAGTCCACAAACGATAAATGCTAGAGAGGGTGTAGTGAAGATGGAACCCTCCTGCACTGTTGGTGGGAATGTAGTTTGGTGCAGCTGTTAAGCAAAACAGTATGGAGGTTCTTTAAAGGACTAAAAACAGACTTACCATATGATCCGGCAATCCCACTCCTGGGCATATATCTCGAGGGAACTCTAATTTGAAAAGATACACACACCCCAATGTTCATAGCAGCACTATATACAAGAGCTGAGACATGGAAACCATCTAAATGTCCATCGACAGATGACTGGATGAAGAAGCAATGGTATATTTATAAGATGTGATACTATTCAGCCATAAAAAAGAATAAAATAATTCCATTTGCAGCAACATGGATGGACCTGCAGATCATCATTCTAAGTGAAGTAGGCCAGGAAGAGAAAGAAAATACCATATGATAGCACTCATAGGTGGAATCAAAAAGAGAAAAAAGAAGACACTAATGAATTCATCTACAAAACAGAAACAGACTCACAGACATAGTAAACAAACTTATGGTTACCAGGGGGGAAAGTGGGTGGGAAGGGATAAATTGGGAGTTTGAGATTTGCAACTATTAACTACTATGTATAAACTAGATAAACAACACGTTTCTTCTGTACAGCACAGGAAACTATATTCAATATCTTGTGGTAACCTATAATGAAAAAGAATATGGAAAGGAATATATGTATGTACATGTATGACTGAAACATTAGGCTGTACACCAGAAATTGACACACTGTAAACTGACTATACCTCAGTTAAAAAGGAAGAGCGATGATTGCTACATCAATTGACAAAGGAACGAGTACTGCCGTCACCATTACAGGCTTGGTACAGTGTAGGTGGTGATACTTGGAATCCAAGCAAGAAAAGCTAGTCAAGGGCCACTCTTGTTTGTGCATGACTAACTTGCCCCAGGATCTTGCGTCATCGGAGGGCTGAGTGTTCGGTGGGTCAGGAAGCGCTGTGGGTTCCATTTGGCCAGTGGATTTTGGCAGTATTGGGTTCTTGTTGCCTACTGCAGTGATGCAGGGAGGCAGGGAGGAGGGCGGAGGGAAGCCCGAAGCAATTTCTCAGTAATAAAAGCCTGTCTTCTTTAAAGGCTTCTCTTTCCTTACCTCCCAGAGAAAATACTACCTTAACACATCATTCCCTAATTCACCTTCAAAGGGGAGAGAGACACAGAAAATCGCTTAGCAGAGATGGCCGAGAGTTATGCTGGTTCAGTGTGATTCCAGAGGAAAAGCTGTCTTGGCTCAAGGCCCAAGTGGCCTTCAGTTTTTCTGTGCAAGATGCTCTTAGGAAATCTCAGAGTTATGGGTGGAATGTTTAGACCAACCAGGCACGTCCGCAGGTGGGTAGGGGGAATCCCAGGTCAGAGCCAGGCGCTTGATGCGATAATCAGAGGTGGTTTGCTGAGGCCTGGAAGAAAGGTGCAGAATCCTGCAAAACCATGATGTGAATTTGAGAAAGGAGATCTAAGTTAAAATAAAAAAGCAGCAAAGATGACTTGGTTTTTTGAGCAAAGAAGTGTGATGTGTAATTCCACACCCCCTCCAGGAAAGCTCAAATTAGCTATAAAAAAAAATGAATGATTTACATTGCAATGGTGCACAAAATTATTCCAGTCCTTAAAATACTGAGGTAAAGTTTTGTAAGAGAAGAGTGCCTTTATTTGAAACTGTTGTTCCCCCTAATTATACAGAAATAGGTGACTTTACATAATAATAGTGGAAATGCCCGCTTGACAGCCAAGAAGAGACCCTTCAGCTTAGCCTTCTCTGTGGTGACTCAGTTCCCATGGCCTGGGACCCAGGGAACTCTCTGCCCCTGTCCACAGTTACTTTCCAAAACCCTGCAATGGTCACTGAAGGGATAAATAAAATCTAATATCAGCAGCTAAACTATTTGCTCATAAAAAGATATCTATTGAGTAGAAGATTTAAAAAGCCTCCACTGAAATGTCCTTGTGGCAACAATAAAGAGTAATTTAATTTCTGTGCTCATATTGCAGCCTCCTTTTTATCAACTTTACTTTTTAAGTCCAGTTCTTCTCCCCAATCAAGCAGCGAGAAGTAGGACAAAACAGGACCTCAGCCAGCTTGCTTTATACATCTAAGATATGAACCTCCACTCAGAGTATGGGATTTCCTTACAGAAATGTATCAGGGGCCACGGCAATAAAGTATCTTAAAAGTTTTTCGCTAATGTCTACTGTGTATCAGGCACCACCCTAAATAGCTTGTGCTGCATTTGTTCTTCTTCCCCACAGGCCCTTGAGAGGTGTTGTAAATCTGGACACGTTACGGACGTCCAGTTACGGAAACTGGCTCAGAGAGAAATCTGCCCGGGACACGTGTCATGGTTTGTCGGTAGAGATGCTGAGATTTGAACGGAGGTCTGGTAGCCATCAAAGCTCGAGTTCGCACCCACTTCAGTATCGTGCCTTCCATCAGCGAAGCCCTACGTGGGGCCCAAAACATGTTTGTAAGAGTCTGCACTCTAATTTAGAAACCAAACCCAAATGCAAAACAATGCGTGCGCATGAGAACAAGCCGCGCGGTATCTCCGCTTCCCCACGGCCGATCTGCAAACCAACTCCAAGCGAATTCCAAGCTACTTTAGGGGCCGTGCTTTTTCTTTCCGGAATATTTGCAAATAGAATCACTGGAGGCCTAAGGCATTCGAGGAATTTACATGTTTGTGCTTCTCATAAAGATGGGGAAGCACTGGATTCCCATGATGGACACGGATGGAGGGAGGTGGGAGGAAGATAAGGGCCGAGGAGGAGGGGGCAGGAGGAGTTTGAGGTGTCAAGGCCTGAGCTCCTTTCTTCCTTCCTAACTTGGAAAGTGAAATTAGGGAGATGGATTGATGGGCATCAGGTCCCCACGGAGCTCTTTTCAAAATGAGATGATTCCTAATTTAATTAGGAGTTTGGAATTCGCGGATACAAACGCCTATGTAGAAAATAAATGAACAGCAAAGTCCTACTGTGTAGCACAGGGAATTATATTCATTATCTTGTAATAATCTATAACTAAAAAGAATATGAAAAAGGATACATATATATGTAGAACTGAGTCACTATGCTGTACACCAGAAATTAACACATCAAAAATCAACTATGCTTTGACTTTAAAAAATGACATTACTGAGTTCAACTGTGTTTTAAAATGTACTGCAAAGACAAGGCATGGCTTCTTTAAGAAGAGATTGTATGAGGTTTTGTCAGAACCAAAAAGGCTATTGGGCCATTAAAAATGCTTAGCATTGAAACAGCTCACCTACTGTTACGTGAAAGAGCCACTGGGAAACAACGTGCACATTAAGACTCCACTGTTGCAAAAGGCATACGTATAGCAGGACAGAAACATGAATATCCTTGTAACCAAGTGCCATAGATGGAGCAGCTTCAACAAATTTGGAGGCTGGAAACCTGAGATCAAGGTGTCAATGGGGTTGGTTTTTCTTGAGGCCCCTGTTCTTGTCTTGTTAATGGCTGTCTTCTCATTTGTCTTCACATGATCTCTCTGTGTGTGTCTGTGTCCAAAAACCCTCTCCTTGCAAGGACATCAGTCGTATTGAATTGGGGTCCGCCTTCATAATTTCATTTTAACTTAATCACCCCTATAAAGATCCTATCTCTGAATATAGTCACATTTTGAGAGACTGGGGGTTAGGGCTTCAACCTATGAATTTTGGAGAAGACCAAATTCAGCCCATAGCAGGCATCCTGGGTGAGAAACATGGGTACCAGTTCTCCCTTTGCCAGGATGATGGGCAGCACTGTCTGTGGGGCAGTGCAGTTCCGGGCAAGGAGAATTCAGTGTGTCTCCCCCTCCGCTCTTGACGTTTCCAGTCCAGGAAACCTCATGTGTTGGTCAGCTGACTGGAAATTCAGTCAACTCTTGGATCTCAATTTTCCCAACCCAGTTATTACAATAAAATTTTGATGTGTACTTCTACTGCATAGCACAGGGAACTATATCCAATTTCTTATAATAACGTATAATGGAAAAGAGTCTGAAAAGAAAAAATATATATAAGTATGTATATGTATATCTGAATCACTTTGCTGTACACCTGAAACTAACATTGTGAGTCAACTACACGTCAATAAATATTTTTTTTAATTTTAAAAAGTTTTAAAAACTTCTTTAAAGTCATTTTGAAGATAAAAATTCAATACTTCATAAACATTAAAAGCAGAGGAACAAAGGAAACTAAAAGCAGGGTGGGGTAAAAATGTAGACTCGTAAATGAAGGTGTGTTCACAAGCTACACTTCAGCAAATATTCTTCAAGGGCCTGCCGTGACAGAGGGGCCAAGTGAGGCTCTTGAGACACAAAGAGGAAACAGAGAATTCCTGCCCTTGAGGCCCATGTGGGGAAGGACAGGGAACAGAGCGTCCTCGTGCAGTGATGTGGGCTGGCAGAGGGGTTTGTCCCGGTGCTGTGGGAACATGAGCAGGAGCTGATGAAGCAGACCGGGACAGGTGGGCGGGAGGGCTCCAGGTGGAGGGCAGAGCACAGGTAGGGTGTGGAGGCAGGACAGGGCTTGCTGAGGAATGGGAAACATGATTGCTTTTGGCCTGGTTGGGAAGTGAGGGTCAATGGGGAAGAGGTGATGGACAAAGTTGGAGACAGGAAGAAGAGGTGATTAGAGAGACATGCAGGAATAGAATCAGGGGCTTGATAACTGTTGGAAAA